AGGAGACAAATTCACTCCAGAGTGATCAGGAGACAGTTTCACTCCAGGACTCCTTCCTGTCAGGCCTGCAGTTCTCCGCTCCCATAACAACAAAGTGCTCCGAGTCCGAGCAGAGCCTCCTTCTCCTCCTCCTCCTCCACTCCGTGACTCACCGTGGACTCCTCTTCCAGCACACAGTACAACAGGCTGCACCAAAACACGAGTGGGTCCTTACATAAGACCCCGGGCGGGATTAGGTTTCCGCGCCGCCTGCCTACGTAACACAAAGCGCAATAAAATAAATAAATAAATAAAATAAAGCTCCACATTTCAGAGCTGCTTCTGGTCAATCAGCGAAGAAAGCTGATGTGCAAGGTTGGGCTTAAGCCGACTTTAAGTTTAAAACCATCTTTAACTGTCCGGGTTAATAAATAAAATGTTCAGAGCTGGCAGCGACAGAGACTCCTAACAACAGAAGAGGCTGCGCGAGCTAACAGGCTAACATAAGCCCAACATTTGGCTTCTCGGCCTCTACAATTTGCTCAGAATTATCGTATTAAGCGTCACTAACCTGCTATATTTGTACAAACACTGAAACCCGCGTAGGCTAGCTGTATTCCTCCATCACCGCCTGTCGAGCAGCACCTCCACATCTGAAGGAGGGCGAAAGCTGTAACTCACCGTGACTAAGCACTGTCGGCCTCCTACCGCCTTCAAAGTAAGAGCCCACAGCAGCGCGCGCGGCCCGCCTCCGTTGACGTGCAATGGAAGGCAGGAGGGTCGGCACGGAGGAGGCTTTTATTGTGAAGGAAGCAAAACAGCGGGGCCAAAACAGAAAAAAGTGGATCAAATCACCAAAACACCAAGACGTTCAACTGGAGGGGTGAAATACTTTATTCACCCTAAAAACAAACAAATAAAAACAAAACATTCAAAAATAATGAATCTAACTGCAAGAAAATGAAAACCAAATGAAACACCCATTCTTAATGTTGTAAAAGTAGTTGAAACCTAACAATAAGTAGCTCAGATGTACATGTTTAAAAATGCTGATAAAGCCATTGCTCAATGAAAACCCGATGCAGTGAGTAAATGCCCTGTAATAACCTCAGTGTAAATGCCACTCACCCTGCTTGTCAGGACTCTTTCCCAGTGATAAACATGTTTATGAACAGCATCGAGCAGCTTGACACAAACCTGCTTGCCCCAGGCAGCTGCTGACACAACATTTTTACCCCCTGTTGCAAAATACATAATCCAGGTCAGCAGGATTGCCTGTGCAGCAAGTTTTGTTCCAAGTCACAAGGTGGCACCAAAAGCCCAGTGTGAGCGTGCAGGCCTGAGGAGACGGTTAAATCAGGCCTGCCTCCATCAACAGTCACGTGTGAACCTCCTCAGATGAGCTGGGAGAAGGAGAACATCTGTCCACGTGTCCCCTGTGATCACGGTGACCTGTGGCTCTCACCTTAAGGGAGGCTGCCCTGACTGGCCTCTGTCCACATGGCATACAGGGAACATCTGGATGAGCATCTGCACCACTACAACTCACATCAAATCAAAGGTGCTTCAGTGCAACAGAACCACTTATCGTAGACGGGTCTTTGGGTCACTGCGGGTTAAATCAAAAGGATGCGTCTTCTGCAGTTATGGTCTGCTGCCTCTGATTTATGAAGCACATTTCTTAAACTCATTGTGACTTTTCAGCCTGTTTCAGTTCTTGAAAAGCAGATGTTGTAGTTTAGTTGTAATCTGAGGTGTAAACAAACCAGAATGTTCAAATCTTTCGTTCAACAGCTTTAAACAACTTCTAAAATGTTGTCTCTTTACGGACAACCGTTGTACATGCTAACTAACTACTGGTATTTGTTTCAGCTCAGTGTGTGATCACAATTCTTTTGTAGTGGGTTTTGTGAAAAACAGGAATAATTAATATCTTGTGGCATATTGCTCTTTGAACAGCTTCTGTTTGGAGAAACAGGTAAGTTGTGATCAGAGGAACAACCTAATGGATAGTAAGAGCAGCGCCAAGGCCAAAGATTTGTTTGGTGCTGTCCTAAAACAACCGTTTGTGCCAAATTAAACCGCTCTGATCTCGGAAATACCAAAATATTCACGTGAACCTCGTTTTATTGAACTTTAACATCGTCACCAATCATGTTATTCAGGCACACATCGTTATTTTCTGCCAGTTTCACAGCTAGATCCTAGAATTGACAGCAATATAAAGGTTGTAAATAGAGTTTGAATTAACTACAACTGAAAATTTCTGACTGCATTTTGCATTACACTGGTATTTAGTAAATGATATGGTTGTTTACAAGTACATAGAGTGGCAATAACAGCTAAGCTGTGATTCTTTCAGTGTGACCTGAGGCACTTCCTGCAGGAATACATCTTCCAAAGTAAAAGTGACGACAGTGTTCTGGTTTGTAGAACTGCATATTCAGAGCTGAAGTGGTTTTATGGCATCAGCCGTCCACTTTGGTCTTTGCCTCCCATTAGCTCGTTAATCTGGTCAGAAAAAAAAACCTTTCTCCAAACTGAGACAGTTTGAAAAGCTACCTGCAACAGGTAAGATATTTATTGTTCATACTCCTTCCACAGTAAAGGTCTAAATGTTGGTTTTTAAAACAAGAGGACTGACTGCATGTTGTTTGATAGACAATATGTTTTAAACACGTTTGAACAGAAATGTACTAAAGTTCAAAGGATTCATCTTTCTGCCTACAGTTGTTTTACGTCTCAATTTCAATTCAGTTTAATTCAGTTTATTTATAAAGCTCCAAGTGAAGTCGCCTCAGAGCACGGAACAGAAACATTCATCTATAAAACAATAATAGCAGCTCTGAGTTGAACTCCATCACAGAACTCTCATGTTGAACAAGCATGAAGGCGACAGTGGAAAGAAAAACTCCCTCGTGAGGAAGAAACCTTTAGCAGAACCAGGATCAGGACCAGAGGACCATCTGCTTCCACCGGTGTCTCTGGCACTAACACCAGCTGCAGGACAGATGAGAGCAGCAGCTGATCTTAACTTCTCGTATAAAGAGAATTGAAAGAGTTCAGCGTTTCATGAAAGCTCTACAGGAAGTTGCTGGAGCCGTCTGAGACCAGCAGAGCTCGATGAAGACCAACGTTGTTTCCAGATGTGAGACCGGGTCCCGTGGCCCTTCGTCACATATCCGTCACCGCTCACACAAAAATAAAATGAAAACACAGACAGACTCGTTTCTGAACGTTCCCCAGACAAAATCAGTCCCAAGCTCTTTCACTCAGAAAATATTTTATTTCTTTTATCAAAAGAAAGGTAATGGTTGCATTTGTGTGTCATAAAATAGACATAACTTACAGAACAGATGTTGTAAAAATGTGTGGTATTCACTACACAGAAAGTATAAAAACATAACCCGTTGATCAGTTTAGGTCCAGAGGGACCAAACTCAAATAGTTTCTTATCTGGGAGCTTATTTGAATCAAATATAAATGTGCCTCCGACAGAACGTTTAGGTCAAATAAAAAACGCATTGGGCTGTAAATCTGTCTTCATTCAACAAGAACTTTGTAACAAGTGCCGATACATTCTGTCAAGTCTTTATGCTGATCACTTCAAACCTTTTATTCACCAGGTGAAATGTGAAATCCTGACGTTCTCGTTTTTCAAGCTGCTGATTTCGTTTCAGTCGCGGTGAAATAGTCAGCGTGTCACAACAGGAGCTAGCTGCATGCGCTCATTAGTCACATCAAGCACATTCTGCTGGTTTCTTGCTGTAGCAGTTTAACTGCAAAAGTGACATTTAAAGTAGAATCAAATGGACTCCAGCCCAGCAACGTTTGTTTTCCACATCAGGTTTGTGTCGTGTCGTTTGGAACCATGGCGACGCCTCGCCGGCCTCCTGAGCTGGCTTTACACCAGCTCCGTGCATCAAACGCACACAGGAAGCAGCGAGACGGGTGATGGGACCCGCTCTGTGAGCCACGGGCTGTCGACCAGCGACACCCACATGTCTGCACACGCTTGCATCACAGACTGCAACGCTGCTTTCATCCGTCTACAACTTTCATCTTGAACTGTGAGAAAACGCTGGACTTTCTCTTTGCACGCTCGTGTTTGTGGACACGTCCGTTGAGTCGGAGCGACATCACTGTCACCATGAGCACGCAGGTGTGTGTCGCTCACACTTGAATTTCTCGCGCCACGGTAAAGTTTCACTTTACCTTTGCTACTTTTCACATGTCGAACGTGAGGCGTTACTAAAAAACATGTTTCTTTGTGCCTCCACTGAATTTCAGGCAAACTCTTTCTGGCTTTCAGATCTGAAAGGGTCCGGACTACTTCCTGTCGTTAGAAGACGTGCTGCACGTCCTCTGTAATGTGGGCGACCCTTTCACAGTCTTTTGGCCTCTCCTTCCAAGAATGAAAGTTTTTATGGTTTGAAGAGTTTTGGGTAAAGAGCTTTAAGGGTGGATGGACTGGCGATGACATTCCCAGAGGAAATGGTTGTCTCCAGCCCGTGTTCTAACTTCTGAGAAGGAGCCTCCGTCTTACTGAAGCTACACTCCAGGAACGGCATCCCGATGTTCTTCACCTGTCCATCTTTGGTCATCAGACATGGCCGACAGAGCAGCCTGAGGATGGCTCGCCTCATGTCCTTGCTGGTCAGAGTGTAGATGATTGGATTCAGGAGCGAGTTGAACATGGCCACCCCCAGGAAATACTCTGACTTTTTAAGCAGCTGGCACTGACCCGTTGGACAGAAAAAGTCCATGAGAAGGAGGATGAAGAGGGGCAGCCAACAAGCGATGAAGACTCCGAGTACGATGGTCACGGTCTTGAGCAGAGCGACATACTTCTGCGACTTCCTCAATGAGCTCTTCCTCATGCTGTTCTTAAAGCTCACCCGCTGGCGTTGCGTATTCCTGCGAACGATGCTGAACACTCGAGCATAGAGGACCACGATGGCCCAAAGCACCACGGAGAACACAGAAACACTGAACAGAATGTAGCTTTTGGTGTAGAGTGGGAGCACTGTTGAACACTGGCCCAGTTTGTGTATACAGTTCCATCCCAGAACTGGGAGGACCCCCAAAAGCCCCGACAGGGCCCAACTTGCACCAATCAGCGCCAACATACGCCCCTTCTTGGCCCCGTGATATGGACGCATTGTCACCATAGTAACGTGGCGCTCGATTGCAATGGCCAGCAGACTAATGATGGAGGCAGCAAGGGTGATGAAGACCCCTCCCTCCCGTAGGAACCACAGCAGCGGTGTCAGTTTTAAAGTGTTGTGTCCTGACATGAGAATATTGGCCATGTAGGTGATCCCAGCCAGCAGGTCTGACAGAGTCAAGTTCCCCAGCAGGTAATACATGGGCACGTGGAACTTCTTGTTCCTCCAAATGGCGATGAGAACCACAGCGTTCTCCAGGACGATAAGGAGACAGATGACCACAAACACAATGCTCTGAGGTTTCAGCTGGTCACAGTAGCGGTCATTCTGCAGCTTGCCGGTGTAGTTGTAGTGCTTCCAAATGACAGATTTGTCCAGGTACTCACTGAAGAAATCCAGGTAGCTATCAGACAAGGGGGTCGGGGAAGTGGAGGACATCAGTGTAGCGAGCAGAGTCTTTTTAGAAATACAGTCCTCCATCCTGGATGGTGCTTTTCCTCCACTCTGCTGGCAGCTGTAGCTACAAACTCATTTTGTTGGCGTTCGCTTAGCAGCAGGAGCGCAGAAGAATCAAAAACCAACTGAAGGGTTGGATGAAGATGGTCCAGGAGAATCCTGCAGAACTCCTCTAGATGTTTTCTTTGTTGGCACAAGACGATGCTCTTGAGCTCTACCTGGTCTTTAGGTCCAGACACTGAAGAAAGACATAAAAACATGCTGAAAAATACTGCGAAGTAAACGAAGCCCCTAAATGATCATTTCCAGATGTGATCCATGAAACATCAGCAGAAAGTTCAACACGTTTCATCTGAAACAGACGTGCAGCTCTCAAGATGTTTGGCTCAACCCGTAATCTTGAGAAGCCAAACGAGTGATAACTGCAATATTCATCACGAGTCGCAACAGAAAACTAAACGGCAGAAGGATTATTTAATTGATGCAGTTTGCTTAAAGTGAACGTCTGTCAGCAAACAACTGCACTCTGCCACTGCAGACAAATTATATATGTATATATATATATATATA